CCTCCCTGCTCTGTGAATGTTTACATGTTATGTTCAATTAAACCATGGCAACATGTAATGTTTGTGCATTATTATTTTCAGCAGACTGTGTTTTTCTATTGTTGTGACTTAGATGACGTTCAGAGCACATTTTATGACCAATTCATGCAAAACTCTGCGTTATCCCAAGGGGTTCACATACTTTTTCTTGCAACTGTATATCTGTATGTAATATCCTGGTTTTGAAGCCTAAAAGTGTTGACGGAGGCATTGTTTATTCAATATTCAACTGATTCACTTTCTTTTACTGGTCTTTTCACTCTTGCATCTTCTTTTTTTTAAAAAAATACTTCAGCACAATAACTATCTAACAACCTGTAGGTCGTTAGATAGGTATTATGTTTCATTTTCCTATTCATTTTTGAAGACTGCATCAAAGAGAGGAAACCAGAAAAATATGAATGTCAGAACTTAAAGAAAAATACATCTTGAATTTCAGAAGAGATTGGTGAGCTAGTCTTAGATTTTACAGTTGACCCACTCCACCAAATAATTGTTTTGTATTATTTCAAAATACAAAATTGTTTAGAATCTTGTTAAGGTTTCAATGTGCTGTAAGGTGCTTAGCGATCACGCTGACCTCAATTAATAATACCTTTTAAGGTCAATTATTGACCTACTAAGGAGTGAGAAAAGGGTTTTAATCAAAAGCCATCTGCTATTAATTTTTTCTCTAGAATGAAAAGGTGGCATGCCACCCAGTGGACGACAGATGATACAAGCATATGGGGTTATCCATCTCTCAAAACTAAATTTGCTTGACATATTTCTGTGTATACTGTTGATACATTACTATAGTGCATTTGGTTTTGTTGAATAGTTTTCTTCTTTTTTGAAAACCCCCAACAACTTATAAGAGACAATTCTCTTTATTTTCAAACTCAAATGTAGCAACTGCCCTTCTTTGGCCCAGAAAGTGAAATAGACTGCATATCTTTCATACTGGGTTTGCTCATTAGACCTATAAACGCCTTACTGGAATACTTGCAGAGCCAGAATGCATATCGGCAATACATCTGGATACAAATTTTCTCTTAGGTCAAGCATGTTTCTCTCATAATTTTTTTCCATAGTTGCCTTTCAACATTATAAAGTAAAAAATGGACTTAGAAATATGTAGACTAGCCTTTAGCTGAGTAGATTGTGTAGGTCAAAAGCAAGGATAAATGAATGTATAAAGCACCTTTAGGTCAAATGTATTCCTAGTTATCATGTGAATCTTTGGATTTTGCCAGTCTTTGAGCTTCTTAAATCGCTTCTGGTTTGTTTCTTTTGTTTCAGAAATCCAAGAAACCTAAGGTAGCAGAGACCATTGTGAAATCAGAAGCCGCTGAAGGTGAATTGTTTATATTGGGTTCAGTTATTAATGTGGAAAAGAGATTGAAGATGTTATAAATCAAAATAAATAAAACATTTTTTTTCTGTTATTATTTGCAATGATGTGAGCTCTTTTGTTGTATGGAAACTAGAGCATATATTGAGGGAGTCTGCAGAATCTTATTAAATTAGCTGGATTTTTTTTTTACTTTTCAGAGTACATTGAATCATAAATTAACCAAAAGGTTGTTTACACATAGCTATGCCGAAGAAGTTTAACCAAGGTTACCACAAAGATTATCAAGTTGCACAAATATTTATGTCTTTAGCTTTCCCATCTGTTCAGATTTATTTGTGCTGCAGGAAGTATACTTGTTAAAACATGATAGTTGAATCTCTAGTGATGAGATTGGAAAAAAGTAGCTACAGAGTTTGTGCCATTGGAACTTAACACAAATGTCCTCATTCTGCAAAAACAAGTAGGCAAACATTTGACAGTCCTCCTTTCCCCCTTCCTTTTTCTTTTAAGATTCAGCCAGTTATTCCTTCTCAAGATTAACATGATGAAGACTTGTCTTCCTGTGTCAGTCACAAAGTAACCTAATTGAAATTAAAAGTTTCAATAATAAAACTGACCCATTTTGCACCATGTTACTTTTTTTTTTTTTTTACTATTATACAGATTCACTGAGTCCATCTCAAGTAAATGCTGCAAAGGATGCTACACAAACTGGAGAAAAGAGAAGCATTGCCTTCTGCAAAAGTTCAGGTAACATTTCCAAACCTTAATTTATAAATAAAGATAGTCCTCGACTTACAAACAGTTCATTTAGTGACCTTTCGAAGTTACAGTGGAGCTGAAAAAAGTATGACCGTTTTTCACACTTAACGACCATTACAGCAGGCCCGTGGTCACGTGATCAAAATTCAGATGCTTGTCAATTGGTTCATATTTATGACAGTTGCAATGTCCCGGGGTCATGTAGGGTCAGCTTTTGCGACTTTCTGACACGCAAAGTCAATGGGCAAGTCAGATTCATTTAACAATCGTGTTACTAACTTAACAACTGCAGTGATTCACTTAACATCTGTGGCAAGTCAGGTTGTAAAATAGGGCAAAACTCACTTAACAAATGTTTCACTTAGCGACCTAAATTTTGGGTTCAGTTGTAGTCGTAACTCGAGGACTGCCTGTACTCCATTCAATGGTATTACAGGTGAAGCTCTTGCAACCAAGCGTCTTCCTTCACTTCCATAAATTGAAAGATCGGAGTTTACAGAATTAAGTTCCTTTCTTACTGAGAATACTTTCCCTAAGGCTCTTAATCATGGTTAGGTATTATGGGTTGAGTTTTAAGCGTATGACAAACTAACCAGGCTTCCACCTTAAGTAAAAAAATGAAAGTGGAGTATGTAACTCCACTTTCTGGGCAGCTTGCTTGAACTTGGTTCTTGGCAGATTAATTGAGCTGCTGTGTTGTCTTTAAGTTAGCAATACCTAAAGGATTCCCTGTCATACCTCAGGGGACCAAACATTTGGGTTGTAAGTATTTCTGTGAAAAGTATATGGCAGGAGTAGGCAACCTGGGGTAGGCAACCTTGGCTCTTTTATGACTTGTGGACTTCAACTCCCAGAATTCCTGGGCCAGCATGGCTCAGCTTGGAAACCTCTCCCTTTCCCCTCAGCATGGCTGGCTCAGGAATTCTGGGAGTTGAAGTCCTCGAGTCATAAAAGAGCCAAGGTTGCCTACCCCTGGGGTATCCACATTTAGATAATCATAAAGATGATGTTTATTATGTATCTTTACATGATTATCAAACTTTTTGGATAAAAAAGTTACTCTGCCCTTAAAATAATATTGAAATACAAAAGTTTTTTTTTAAAAAAATGGAAAACTAATACTTTCAACTAACCTAAAATTTGGGGTATGACTATTTAGTAGGATATATGTTGGTTTTTTTGTATATACATACTACTTTATCAATGGAGAATTCACGTTCCCTATTTTCTTTGTCCTCTGTTTTGTGGCAGTCAATGAAAAAGCGCCATCTTTCTCTGGAAAAAGCATCCAAGGTGCATCAGAACCTGTGAAGAGGCCCTCAGCAGCCAGTGAGAAATCAGAAGCGTACAAGTCTATTTTTACTTCTCACAGCTCGGCCAAACGCTCTAAGGAAGAGTCTTCCAATTGGATTACACACACCGCATACTATTTCTGAAACAGAAAATTGTATGATTTTGAGCGTGCCCTGCTTTTTGCCACCTGTTGCTTTCTGCTTATAGGAGAAGCTTTTGTTATTGGAAATAGTGCTTTTTAATAAGAAAACAGCTTTAAAAACAAGCCAACATAGTTTTGAATAGGACATAAATGAAAAAGATAGCTGAACGTGGCTCTAAATTTTAAAGGGTAGCTACTTTGAGTAAATGCTCACCATAAGAATGACTGCTTGATGTCCTTTTCAAAGAGGGCAACTGTGCTTATTTTAACTAGGTTCTGTTTAATCTGAATAATTAGGCTACACCTGAGTGCACAGGCACACTTGGTATCTTGTAAATATTTTCTATCAATTTATCTTAGTGGGAGATTTCAAAATTGTGAATGGAAAGGTAGAAGCCAGCATTACATCATCCTAATTCTTCTCTAGATTTCTTACAGATGTCACTTGAGACATTTCCCCATCCTAGGGTCCAGATGTGAGATTAATTTAATAGGTCCTAATCCTGAAGCAGATGCAAGAACGACATGTCCAAGAATTTTTGTGGGGTGATAAGCCACAATCACACTTTTGCCTTCTTTATTGTAACTTGTTCATCTTTCATGATAGTAGCTCTTTTTGATCTAAGAGTTCTCATATTGTTAATTATTAAAGTATAACCGTAATTCTGCAGTTTCTAAAAAGAGCAAACAGTGTTTGTAACATTCTGACACCTTGTATATTCAAATAAAACACAGTAATTGAGTAATTTGTCTTGCAATATAGTATGTGATTCAGATTTATGAAGCTCAGCATAACTTTTTTTTTTAGATTTTGGATCAAAATAATGGCAAGCAGAAGGAGAATACATACATTGTGACCTTTGAACTCTTCTGCAAGCTAGAATCTGCAAAGTGTAGGACCATAGTTTATTAGACGTTAGATGAAAAATATGAGACAGAATATTCCCTCATTGAACGCAAAGTTCTTGATAAGAATTGAAGCAATCTTGAATAGAGATGAGACATTCTGATGAAGATATTTTAATGTAACATTCCTCCAAATAATTTTTT